CCGGCAGACGGACTGTGTCACTTGTTTGCAAAGGGACAAGAAAGCTGCTTCCAGCCGCACACCCCCCCGGAGGGCCACACAGGGGGCTGTCACACTGAATGGCAGAACAGCTCTGGGCCTTCCAGATACTGAGCTCCCCGCCAGGGTAGAGAGCTCCCTGCCGGGACTGGGCCACTAACCACGGGGCAGCATGGTCAGGAGAGAAGTCAGGAACACGGGGAGCGCCCTGCCATCCCAACTGCTGCCGCAGGCCAGCCACAAGCCTCCCTCACCAGCAGCACCGGGACGCGGGCAGAACTGACCTGACGTTCACCATGTCTGCCGGGGTCCCCACAAACCCGCCGGTGAAACCTGCAGCCAAAGAAGAGCTGGGGTCAGGGGGCTCCTCCAGCCTGAGGGAGCCCAGGGCTGAGGGACCCCCTCCCTCACTCACCTCCCACTGCACCCAGCAGCACTTTCTGGTAGAAGGGGGGAGGCCCCTGGCTGCCCTGGCCCAAGCGGTCCCTTGCGGTCTCGTAGATGGCAAAGCGAGTCAAGGAATACGTCATCTGGAGGAGAGGGAAAATGAGCTGCTGTGCCCTGCTAGGCGCCTGCCTCCTCGGCCCCCGCAGCTCAGGGCAGCCTGTCAGCTCCAGCCCAGCTGCCAGACGGAGTGGGCAGCGCCACGCAGCAGGAGCTCTGTGCTGGCCTCGGGGGACCAGAGGCCGTCAGGGCATGGTGGCACTCACCTGCCGGCACAGCGAGGCGCTGAGCCCGTTGTAGAGAGCCAGGAAGCCATCGGTGCGGATCACACGCATCGCCATCCCCATCATCCGCATCTTCACCTCCTGCTGCGTCTGCAGGTGGACCTGGGGCAGAATCTGCCAGCGTCAGTGCACCAGCCCCGTGCTGGGGCTGGGCAGAAATGGGAGAGCGCAGGGCAGTGGAGCAGGGATGGCCGCTCCGAGTGCTTGTCAGGGTAACTCCTTAGCACTTGCGCAGGAGCTTCTGCGCAAACAGCAATAGCTCCAGGCTCCCCACACCTAAGCAGTACTTGGAAACTGGCCCAGCCCAGCATCAGAGCGGTGGAGGCTGGCAGGAGAAGGGGAAGTGCTGAGGCACCTGCCCACAGTCCCTCCCAGGCGCCTGCCCAGCTCGGTGGCCTCAACAGCACGTCCCAAGATGAAGTGGTAGCACCTGCTCCTCCAAGAAAGGCCCTGGGTCACATTGGGGCGGGGAGGATCCAGAAGCACGTGAGCGAGCGAGCAACCAGTGCGGGTTTGCTCGGAGGGACCATGACAGGGCCAGTGAATTCATGACCTCCTGCTGCCCTACACCCTCGCCACGTGAGGCGGCAGGCCTCCAGAAGTAACTTCCCCTCCTCCCCAGACGCAGGAATTGCAGAGGCGGGAAGACAACCCTGCAGCCCTGCTCACCAGCTCCGAACCGCTCCCTGCCACAGCCAGGCACAGCCCCGGCGTCCAGGCACTCCCCTCCCCACCCGCAGCAGCCCAACGCTTCCCACCATCACCAGAGGAAGCGGTAGCGGGACTGCGCGGCGGCTGGCCGGGACAGAGGAGCCGTGTTGGCCGGTGCCAGAGCACGTTCTGAGTGCACCCGCCCCACACTGCAAAGATCACGTGTGGGTCAAAGGCCGCAGGAGATAAAATTAAAGAGAGCAAAGGGCCGCTGGTGGGGGATCAGGCCTGGCTCCTGTTACAGAAACCCCAGCACGGCCAGGGCGTGGGACACACAGCAGGATGCTGGGAACAGCCTCCGTCTCCCATGCGGGGCAGCAGCGGGGGTGCAGGGAAGGGACCCGCCTTCAACCCCAGCGGGTAGATTTCGGATGTCAGGGATCACAGCTCGTGGTGTGCCAGGGAGCTGGGCGAGCGGCTGCCGGGCAGCTCAGGGCAGAGGGACCGGGCGGGCAGGCAGGTACGCCAGAGCCACGCCTGGAAGCGCTCCACTGCCCAGTCCCAGGGCCTCAGGAAGGGCAGGCAGGCGGGCAGGGGAGGAGCCGGCCAGCGCTGTGGTCACTGTGGCAGGGCAGGCAGCCCCGTGGGCGGCTAGTGGCTGCGCAGTGCCAGCTCAGGGGTTCCAGCAGGGGCGCGAGCACCCTCCGGCCGGGCTGGCTGGGGCCTCCCGCTGGGGCCAAGGTCCAGAGGTGCCGTGAAGAGCCCTTGGCCCCCTGCCCTGCCAGACCCCAAGGCCCCTCGTGCTTCCCCATGCCTGGCACCAGCCCCTGCTGCAGGGGAGCTCTGGGCCAAAGGCAGGTCCAGGTTCAATACTCAGGTGTGAACCCTCTGGCAAAAACAGCCAGCTGGCCTGGGCTGCTCACGGCCGCAGGACACACAGGGGCTATGCATTCATGGGGGTTAGCACTTGGGGATGCAGCCCAAAAGTCACACCTGTCACACTAGCTCAGAGACAGACCTAGAGGCATGTGCCAGACTAATTCCCCTTCTTAGCACCTTGCCAGGGCATCCTATGCGAACTCCCATGGACTGCCCAGCCACCTCCGCTGGGCAGATGGGGCCACCTGGGCACGGCAACAGGCCGAGCACCAGAGAAGCGGCATCCCTCTGCCAGCGCTGGCTCCTCTCCTGGGCCTGTGCCGGATGTATCTTCCCCTCTCCCCATGCGGTGGGGTGGGAAGGGGCTGCCCGTCCCAAGCCTTGCCCACGGGCATGGCTCCGGGCATGGCAGGGCAGGGCCTGGCCTGGGCTCACTCTCCTGCTCCCCCTCCGCAGCCTGCCCGGCTGCCAGGCTCGTTGCTGCTTGGCCAGCACACAAGGCTCTGGGCAGCGCTGGCATTCGCCCCGTCCGTGGGTGCTGGCAGTGCAGGGCTGCGTGCGGCGCTCTTTGTGCAGGAGCGGGGATGCCAGCCCATCTGCAGCGCCTAGGTGACATCTTGGCCCGAGGACATGGAGCCCAGTGGGCCTGCGTCCAACGCCATGGGCCCTGGAGCAACCACCGTGCTTCATGCAGGCACCTGGGCAGGGCTGGCCGGGGGGTCCCCCACGGCCCCCGCACCCCACAGCCCCCAGGGCCAGCAGCCCCAGCTCCCCAGAGCCCTCAGCCCCACAGCCCTGAGCCGTGTCCCCTCAGGCCCACACCTGTCCCCTCACGCGCCTGCACCTGCCCCTGG